TCCATCCATCCATCCATCCATCCATCCATCCATCCATCCATCCATCCATCCATCCATCCATCCATCCATCCATCCATCCATCCAATTTGAAACAGAAGATATGTCAAACCATGAATGAAGGGAGCAGAAAGAAGAAAAACTAAATATCGACACCTCTGCCTCTTATTTAACGGAACAGTCCAACATCTTTAAAAAGTTCATCACTTCTGTTTGTTGCTGCTAAAACGACGCCTCTTTATCTGTCTGTAAATCTGCCAGCAGACAAACTGTGAAGTGCTCCATGGTTAACCCTCAACAGAAGACGTTCTTGCTGAATAGTTGTTCTTCTATAGGAACCTTGATGTTATTGAAACGAGACTGTTTTTGTTTTTTTCTCAGGTTTGGAAGTTGTGCAGGGCCAGAGCAAAACGATCGACAGTACCATTCTTGACGCCTCCAATCTTCTGGCGAGTGTGCCTGAAGCCAATCGAGTCGACGTGGATGTGGTTTTTGAGATTAAGCGTTTTCCCAGTCATGGTCGGATTACCCTGAATGGAGAGGACCTGCCACGAAAAGCTCCCACGTTCATGCAGCAAGATGTGTCTGAAGGAAAGCTGGATTACCTCCATGATGACTCAGGGGTTGCCTCCGACAGCTTTTCTTTCAGAGCCCGACTAAAGTCTGAGGGCCGTGGCGTGTCGTCCCCTGCTGAGTCTGTTGTTCTGGAGGAGGTCTTCCATGTTTCAGTCAAACAGCGGGGCTCGGACCCCCCTGAACTAGTCACAACAGATATGCTCTTTGAGGTTCTCCAAGGCTCCATGACTGTCTTGACTCAGAATCATCTCAACACTCAGGATGAAGACAGCCCACCGGATGAGGTTCACTTCAAGGTGACCAAAGCACCTGGCAATGGAAATCTGGTTAACCCTATCACACTGGAATCCATCGCTGAGTTCACACAAGAGATGGTCAATCGTGGGGAAGTGGGCTTCAGCAGCGACGGCAGCCTTAAAGAAGGCTTTTTAGAATTTGTAGTGTCAGATGGAGAACACCAAACTGAGCCGTTCACGCTACACATCGGCATTCTGGCTCGAAAACTGCTTCTTGGCAAAGTCTCTGAGATCAAGGTTAAGCAGGGTGATGATCAGACTCTAGTAACGGAGGACCTGTTAAAGGCTACAACTGGGGGCCCGGTTGAGGAGGACATCCTTTACAAAATCACTAGCGTTCCAAAGTATGCGGCTATCATGGTGGACCGGCAGCCCACGTCCGCCTTTACCCAGAAACAGATCAGTGAAGGCAGAGTCAGCGTTCGCTTTGTCAAGTCCACATCACCTCGAGACAGCATTTCATTTACAGCCCGGAGCCGTGCAGCTAATGCCTCCTCTGTCCTCAACATCACAGTACAGCCTTTGGCCAAGATCGCTCAGGATCCTCTGTTACCTCGGGATACAATCGTCCAGCTGGATAGAAATCTTCTAGATGCAACTCTACTGGCCAACAAGACCAGAACCTCCCCCACATTCACAATCATCCAGCAGCCAAAGGGCGCTCGTTTTCTGACATCTGGGGGTCCTGGTGCAGGTCACCCAGTGGACTCATTCAGCCAGAAGGATCTGAACGAAGGTCGTGTTGCGATGGAAATCTTAGATGGTGCCTCTGGGTCACAAGATGGTGTTAATCAAGATGAGGCTCGCTTCCTACTCAAAGCCCACGGAGTCCCTCCTGCAGAATGTGTGCTTTCCTTCCACACAGGCCCTTACAATGCTTCTGGGGTTTACCCCGCCACTTTACTGAGAACTCCCTACAATAGGGACCACCCAGGTAAGACTGGACACGGTCGAGGGGCATCACCTGGTCAAACAGACTGGTCCCTTGGAGACCATCTTACCACTGCATCTCCTGACTCCGGCTCCCACGGGAACCCACATGTTTCCCGCCGCAACAACTTCTGGTCTATTTTCATCCCTATCCTGATAGTCCTCCTTCTCTTACTTCTGGCAGCCGTCTTGGCCTACTACCTGATCCGAAAAAACAAGACGGGCAAACACGACGTCCAGACGGCAGCATTTAAGCCCAAAAACGGAGAGGTGGCCACAACAGAGACCTTTCGCAAAACCGACCCAGCCAATAACATTCCCATGACCAACGTAGACTCCAAAGATGCAGACCCGGAGCTGTTGCAGCACTGTCGGACATCAAACCCGGCCTTGAAAAAGAACCAATACTGGGTTTGAGACACGTTTGGACGAAGCAAAAAGGAAGTTGAATCTCGTGTTTGGAAGCCTCCTCGTATCATTCCTCTCAGTATTAAGGACCTTTTGCCACAGCAGACCAAATGATACACATTGCTGATGCCATCTCTGTGGAACTGTGGACATCGTCTCAGGCAAGAAAACACTGAACACTTATTGGCAAAGAAAGAAGCTGTATTTTATCTTAGGAGGCCACGGCTATTTATTTTGGATTCATCATTCCTCGTTGTCAACGAGCACAAACGAAGACATGAACATGCTATATGTTTGCAAAAGAAATTAGATTTTTTTGATGTGCTCTGTCGTTTTCAGTATTATAGGCAAACATTAATCGCTTGAGATTTTAGGAAATTTAGAATATATTTTTGGAGTATTTCAGTTTTTCAATGGGAAAATTAGTAAAAGGTGTTGAAGTGAAAATGTGTCAAGAAGAGGAAGGAGCGCCTTTATGGTTTTTCTTTGTTTCACTTGGTATACAGGTGCATTAGGAAGTCATGTCTCAGGTATTGGGTTTAAATATTATTAACTATTGATAACAGATACAACTTTAACATCTATGTGTACATTTTACAGCTTCTCGATCCAACGTTTAAATATAAAATGACAGGTTTCTGTTTCCTTTCTTGTCTTATTGTGACACTCAGGCTCCCCACATGATTCCCCTGCTATGTAGACAATTAATGTCTAAGCTGGGTCCTTTGCTTTTTTAATAAACTTTATTTAAAGACTACACATTAACATAATTTCCATCACAATTCTGTGCGCAGATTGTTGTTGTGGAAGTTTTGTGCATCCTCAGAGCTCTCCACGACCTTTCTCGTCTCGGCCTGTCACGTCATATGGAGCTCACCTCGTCAAGACCCTGAAAAGATCGTCCACTGGTAGATGTTTTTTGTCTCCCATCACAAAGTGAAGAGGGGACATTAGAAATACTGTCCGTCTGACTGTGCACGTTGTGAGCATGATAGCTTGAAAAATTATTGAAATATCACCTTCCCTGTTGACGTGTGGTTGCATCTCGGTATAAGAAAGGTTCTTTTTGAAAATTGGGTTGCCACGTCAAAATCCAAGATGTCCACCGCCGTATGTAAAATGACCACCCCCATCACTTGAGGAATTCAATTCAAAAATACTTGATTAATCCTAGAGGTAACTTAAATGTTGTAGCTCATCATCCTGGATTCATTGGTTGTTCTAGATGCTGATGGCTGTGGGCAGGAAGGATCTCTTGTAGCCGTCTTTATTAGAGAAGATCTGAAGAAACTGGCTGCAGTTGTTGATCTATCTACTTGGACTTGGGGGGTTTCTCGGTCTTCTTGGGCAGCAGGACCACCTGAATCTTGAGCAGAACTCCTCCCTGAGTGATGGCCACTCCTCCCAGCAGCTTGTTGAACTTCTCGTCATTGCGGACTGCCAGTTGCAGGTGTCAGGGGATGATCCTGGTCTTCTTGTAGCCGCAAGCCGCGTTTCCCAGCTCCAGGATCTCGGCGGTCGGGTACTCAAGCACCTCCGCCAAATAGATGGGGATGCATCCACGGCACCTCCTTTTTAACTCACTTGTGATTTGGGGCTGTAGCTGAGGTATTATTTGAGCTTTTGAGATGTTAATCAGCTGCTCCCAACTGTAAAAACTACCTTGTTGCCATGGTTACGCATCATAACAAATGTCCAAAAGCAAAAAGGTTTCGGTAAAAATCCTTTTTAGCTGCACAGCATCTGATACCAGAGGAAATAATCATCCAACAAAAGTGATTTACATCCAGAGAAAAGAGAAATTAAAGTTTTCACAAGTAACATCCCAGAATGAAAGGAACAGCTGCTCCAACATGAAAGTGATTTAAAATTCCTTGAGCGGCGCAATTCTCGAACAATTCAAAAAAGTTCAAGACAAAAATTCTAGAACAACAGGAAACTATGCTTTCTAGATTTTTTTTTATTTCTTAAAGGTATACAGTTAGCTGCCTCATATGATTGGGGTGGCCAAATATTAACATTTGGTGGTCAAGGACACCAATGGCCACCCCCTGGCTCTGCCCTTGAATACCTTGCACCAAAAACATTAAGACTTACAGTATCTGCATTCCCAGTCCCAGTCCCAGTTCAAAAACTGCAAACATTCACTGTTCACACCCCTCAGCGACGGGACGTCAGCGTACGTGTTTGCATCGTAGTGGGGGGGTCGTCTGTGGTGAAGGAGGAACAGCTAGTGCTCTCAAACACTGAGACAGATGTGGTATCGCTTCGCTCGTCCTTTTGAAAGAACATCTGGACGATCATAACTTGATGTTAAGAAACAGAAGTTGCACAGTGCTGCACGATTTCATCTTTTTGTCTATCAAAACTTATCGTCTCTGAATATTTCCACGGTGCTTGTAAATATTTACTCGACTGACCACAAAACTAAACCAAAGAGTCGAGGCTGAAAATAGTTACAGGAAATCACTGACCAGATTAGATCAGATTAGAGCCACCGCTGTTGTTATGAACGTTCCATACGTCAGCAGAATATTTAGACTGTCCTAAAATAAAATGATTTGTAAATCTCTTTAGTTGTATTTTATACATTAAAGCTAAAAGCTGTAAGTCTCAATGCTTCCAAGCTGACGGCTTTTCAATTAATTCACCTTTATTAATCCATGAAAAAAGCAAGCACAATCCTAATCTGTGTATTTCTAAGTATTTGCTGTATATATTTTTTCTTATTCCGAATATCAGTGTCGCCTTTGTTTCTTGTCAAATGCCGAGCACGCAAATTTTTCACGTCATTTTATTTACTTTGCATTTCTGTAAACTTTTATAGCAGTAAATATATTGAGTAGAAACATAACAGAGTTAAAATATTGTGATTTTGTGTTTTACAGTTTGTTAAAACGAGAGTCCACGTGAAACGCCTCACCGCTGTGTAAATGATGTGGCTTTGAATTCTTGCAAAGGTTTACAGTCAAATGAAGAAAACATGAGCTTTGAAGCACACACACAAATATAAAACATGTTGGTGTGTGTGTAAAACTGATTACAACTGTCCATGTTGTCTGTGTGTCTGTGTGTGTGTGTGTGTTTGATACCTTTTAAGGACCATTTTTCCAAAATGCCAACTTGTCAGGATTCTTCTGGTTTGGAGGTACAAAGTCAGATTTTTGGGGTGGGGGGTGTTAATGGTTAGGGTCAGTGTTGAGCTGCAGAGATGAATGGACATCACTGCATCATCCGCATAAAGATATGTGTGTGTGTGTCTGTGTGTGTGTGTGTGTCCTTGTTTATGCTACTTTGTGAGGCCCATTTTTCCAACTTATACTGCATTGTGAGGACCAACTGCTCCTTATGGGGCCCAAAGCCCGGGCCCCATAAGAAGAAGTCCCGTTGGTGGGTTAGGGGCTAGGTTTAGGACTAAGGTGTGAATTGAGGATGTGTTAGGTTTAGGGTTAGGTATGTACTGGTAATGGTTAGGTTATGGATAAAGGTCATGGTTAGGCTATAGAAATGAATGAAAAATGAATGGAAGTCAATGCAAAGGCCCCATAAAGATAGCAAAACAAACCTGTGTGTGTGTGTGTGTGTGTGTGTGTTCTGTACTGCAGTGTTTCATCAGCACATCTTCCTGGTTTCATTATTTATTATTTTGGTCACTCCCAATTAATCAGTTCACATCAACGCTTCGTGTATTTTATTTGATTTGATTTGATCTGCAGCTGTCTCTAAATAAAATGTTGGTACTAAACATGTCCAGCATTAAATATGTTTCAGGTACAAATGGAAATAAAATATTGATGCAATAAAACGTGCATACACATCTTTGTTTCTGTCTCTTGCGTTAAATCCAGCACTGCTTCTAAAACCTTTCTGCCGAGCTTTTATACTGAAGGTTGTAGCTGCTACTTCTAGTACAAAGCAAATTTTTTGCCTTTTTTTTATCGTTTCAAATGTTTTATTTAAAAATGTTGCTTCACGTGCACCTAAAACTGTTTCCGTCCGTGCCGTAGTCGTTACAATCAGTTGTCCCGACAGTTTCCCACAGATGCAGTTTAGCATGGCGTTAGCTCATAGGAGCTAAAGAAGGCCAGTGTTCTCGAGGCTCTGTGGGTAAAGGCTGCCGTTAAATTCATTGTGTTGAATAAAAGCAAATAATGTTTTCAGTGTGACGTCAATAGCAACAAGTCGTTAAATCACTCGTCGCCTCAGAACTTTTCCATGGCGGCAGTAAATATTAGTACATTTACAGCAACACTGACACGGTAACTATAACACACTAACGCTCACGTCTGCCTAGATAATATATACAGCACCGATTCACAACAAACGTCATGTCAGGGAACTGATCAAAAACATCCACTTACAAAAAAGAACCCCAATTAGTAAAAGTTATCGATCTAAGGTCTAAGGAAGACGACAGATAGAAAAAAAAAACCTCCCATTTTACTGAAAAACACCTCCACCAGAACCAGAACCAGGATCACGATGGGCAGAAATCTACCTCGAATGGCTGAGAGGACAAGAAAGAGACCAACACGGAATGACTTGTCCGTGTATAGTTCCTGTGGTCCAGGTATACGGTAGTTCCTATGGTCCAGGTATACGGTAGTTCCTGTGGTCCAGGTATACGGTAGTTCCTATGGTCCAGGTATACGGTAGTTCCTATGG